GCGGCGCATCACCACTGAGACCCGGCCTTTCCCAGCTGCCTCTCTAGGGCTGCAGCCTCCGCCCCACCCGCTGTGCCGCGCCACCCGGCCCTGAGGTCCCAGTCTCACCGCGTAGCTGCTCCTGCAGGGAGAGAAACCGGGGAAAGCGGATTAGCGGTGGGCCTGTGTCCTGTCTGTCTCCGAAGGGACTAGCGGATGGGGTCACCAACTGGCCCTGCTAAGGTCCCAGGAGTCTGGTCCCACGTTTTTATTTTTTGAGACAGGGTCTCCGTAAGCCCAGTTCTCGAGGCTGGGCTCGAACTTGAGATCCTCCTGCCCCAGCATCCCAAACTCGGATTGACCCCCATATTCTTACCTCATCTCTACCCAGGATCCCCACGCTGCCTCCCTCTTTGGGCCAGACGTCCAGCCTCACAGCGCCCACCCTCGGAGCCCTGGAGATCCACATCACCGACCCTCCCTCCGGGCCTCGGATATCAGGGTCACCAAGAGGCACTCACTCCTCCGCCATTGCAGACTCGGGCTGGGGGTCGGAGAGAGGCGCAGGGGTGACCTTGGAGGTCTCAGGCCCTTCGGTTTCCACCCGCCGGGCTGCTCAGGCCTCACTAGGACACTGAGATAAAGGGCAAGGACAGGGACTAAATATACTGCTGTCCCCTCCCCCGGGCCAGGACGGAGATAAGGGGCGCGAGAGGGGCGGGGCGGGCCATGCCAGCCGGTCACCTTGGTGTTCAGGGATCGGACCCTTCCTCCCGCTGGCCTGGAGTGCCAGTGCCTTCGCCTCCAGGCTGAGAAGCAGGCGGGGCTCCAGGACCCTCCCCTCAGACCCAGGAGTTCGAGCTAGTTTTAACCCTGCACGAGGGTTAGAACATTATCTTTTCACCCTGTTGGTTCCGCTTCAGCACCCAAATGTGTGGGCTGCTCCACACATGTTGATTATTTACTTATGTTTTATTTAGTTTTCTTAAAGACAGGATCTTGCTGTGTAGCCCAGGCCGGCTGCTGGCCTCAAACTCTGGGCAACCCTCTTGCCTCCGCCTCCTGAGTGCTGAGTGCTGGTGGTGCCCGCACCACCAGGCCCGGCTGCTGCGCGTTATTTGACCACAGGGCCCAGGTCCTCAGGCCAAAGCACGGACACGGCCGCCCACAGCCACTTGCAAACCTATACGTTTGCTTCTGGCCTCCGGGGCTCTCCAACCCCCCGCCCCCGGCTGGAGCCAGTGAGGACAGAGGACGCGGGGACACGCAGAGGAGGACACAGGACTTTACTGAGCTGCTCCACCCCAGTCCCAGTTCCCGCAGGGAAAAGAGGGCAGGAGGCTGGGGAGGGGCTGGTGGCTGGGCCTCAGACTGGGCCAAAGCAGGGAGCGGAGCGTGAAGGTCGGGCTCTGCAGCGCTCCGGGGCTGAGCGCTGCTCTGGGTGGGAAATGGGAGACGCCAGAAGTGGGTCAGAATCCCGCCGGGGGCTCCAGGCCTCCAGAGCCCCCTTTAGAAGTCAGGGAGGGGCCCTGGGGCTCCGGAGCTGAGTCCCCTTCTGGCGTGGGAGGCGGTGGTACACCCGGGACAGGGGGCGTTGCGGGAGGAGCTCTGGGGGG